GGAGAAACAGGAGAAGAAAGGCAAACCTCTCAACTACCGTGAATCTTAACATGCCGTCTTCTTCCTGTGGGTGGGGAGAAGGGGCTGCAGTGGGGACAACTCAAAGAGAAATCACCCTTGAGGGAAGTCCTGGACCACCTAAGTAATTAGAACTTGGCCAGGACATGCTAAAAGCATCTTCTTTCATTGTGACAAATGCATGGCAAGGCTCCATCAATCTTAGAATTCAATGAATGTTTAAAAGAAAGGTATCGCCATGTTTGTTTGATGGGGGTAAAAATCAAGTCAGATGTTTTCTAACCAAAACCCAAACCCAAACGAAAAAACATAAGACCCCGTGCTTTTATTTGACTAACGGGTCTGATATGAGAACTGGCTTTGGCTAACCTATGGAAAATGAGCAACGAGAAGAAAAAGGGGTCACCACATGCAAGAAAAACCCATGCTACTGCCCAGAGACCACCCTCAGGTCACGCAGGAGAAATCTCTGAGGAGGTTCTAATGCCAGGATTTTGACATCCTGGGTGGGAAGGAGTCTTCTGTCTCACAGATGGCCTCCTCTCTTAGAGAACAGGGGCTGAAAGACCTGCTCTTCATGTTCAGGTATTTACCTAACAGGACTTCCCTTTGATACTCCTTATTTTCACTTTCCTCTTCCCCTCTGACCATTGTGTTCCTGGCACTTTGTCAAGGGAGTTTCACCCTCTTCTGAGCGGAATCTCTAATATTTATAACAAGTACCTCTTTATGCTGCATATTCTCCAAGGAACAAGCCCAGCTTTTCATGGTATTTCTCTGGTCCAGGAACATCCCAAATCTTTCAGAAGCAGGCACTGTGCTGCTGGTGTGTTTCATGCCTGTGCTCTCAAAGCGAGAAGAAAATAAAAACTTCCAGTTGTGTGCCTCTAACAACCTTGCCATTCCTCAGAAGTAGAAACACCGAAGTATTAGTTTTGCTTCTAGAATGAGGGCCCAAATATCCCTTTCAGAGGCCTCTTTTACAGAAGCAGTTGATTGGAACCCTATTTTCTTTGAAGCATTGTGCGTCCATCCCCTGGCACTGGTACAAGCCCGGCAAAGGAGGGGGAACCTAGAGCACTGAACTCTCGTGCGTGACCCCCAAGCGTGCATCCTGAGCCCTGCATTTCTCCCAGTGTGCTGTGGGGTCTCCTGCTGTCTGCCGTCCCTCTCAGGGCCAGCCCTGCGTGGCCACCACCTGTCTGCCAGGCGTACACGGGGACTGAGAGAGTGTCCCGAGTCTCCCTCACACCTGGAGAGGGGCACCTGTCCCAGCTGTATGTGGACTCTGTTCCTCTGCCTGAATACCTACTGCTCTTGACCGGACTTTCTCCTTCCCGTTGTATGTAAACTGTGACACCAAACTCAAATATTCCTTCCGTAGTTAGCCATTTTGATGTCTGTAGCCTTGTCTTTTTCTTTATGCAAATGTATTTTGCTGTCTTCATATTTTTATCAACAGCACTTCACCAAACCATGCACTGACTGAATAAATACAGAAACATTTAATTCTGAACTGTAATTAAACACCGTTTTTTTTCCTTGACTGGCACAAGCAGGAAAACAAGATCTTGCCCCACTTGTGAGTGAGTTAGGGTGTCAGGGCATGGCTGGGAGGACCTGTACTGGGTCCTGTCTGTGGAAAGGAGAAAAAAGTAAGAACTTCAGCTAACAAGAGAAACATGGGAAGTCAAAAGAAAAGGATTTGAAACAAGAGAGAAGGAGGAAAGGAAGACGAAGAAGGGTGAGTGAGATAGAAGAGGGCTTGATGGGGAAAGAGATGAATCTGCCACAGAACTAGGAGGAAAAACTAAAGATAATATTGTACTTCATAGCAATGACAAACTAAAACAAACCTAAGGGGCTCATTAACGTGACAGAATATAGTTATAACACAAAACTAAAAGAAAAACATAAGCAGGGAAGGAAGGAGGTGAAAGGCTTCCCTGTAGACACTCCTCTAACACGGGTTTCTGTCTTCCTTGCGGGAACATGTAGACCGTCTGTTTGAATCCCGGTTCTAACACTCCCACTTTGTATCCTGGGCTAAGTGACTTAACCTTGCTGAAAGAGCACCAGCTATGTTAGCTGCAGAACGCAGACAGTAACACATACCTCACAGAGATGTTGTGAAGGTCACAAAGATCATGAATGAAAACGGCCGACCATGGTGCTGGCACCTAGCAAAACCTCGGCAAATAGTAACGATCATTTCCTTATTACCTACCCCAGGCACACCTCCAGGCCCGCAGGTGCCCTTAATACCGGGACGTCCCAGGGAAGCTTAGCTTTTGATACCCTGAGCCAAGTATATCTTACTGTGTCAGAAATGGACTCCCACCTTGCAATGCCCCAGCAATCAGTAGGGCAGATGGAATGGCCCGCTTGCTGTCCAGATTAAACTGCTCTTATCTCTTGGCGTCCAATCCTATGTATCACGTTATCATTTGAGACATGTTCTTAGCGATTGTTGAGTTATAAGGATGACAACTAGCCAACACTAGTGTCTCTACTGAGTCTTTCCTACGCTTGACATTGTTCTATGTACACATATTACTGTCCCCATGTAGGAAACAAGGATGTGCCGAGAACCTGTACCTTAAACTATCCTCAGACCTGTTTAAGTTCTTCTGCCTCTTCCCTTATTGGCTGATCAGCTGTCAAATTCATCAAAACTGCCATGGGTCTTCTAGTTCTCAACCCAAGACACTCATTAGAATTACTTGAAGATCTTAAAAAAAAAAAAAAAGAAAATCCCCTGAAGCCTATGATGTATGAAATGGTAAAAACCCAAAAACTCAACATGTGAGCCATGTCTTTTTCACCTATACCCTTTTACTTATTAAGATATTGTAGAAATAGCCAACTGTGGGCTAATATATAAAGAAAACTTACAGTTAATAAGCCCTAAGAGAGTTTAAGGCCTTCTTCTTCAGAGTACTAAATTTTGTCATTAATTTTGGCCAAAGGATTGTTTCTACCCCCTGCCCCATCCATCCCCCCTTACTCTTTCTTTTTAACTGTTTGCTTCTGGCCTCATAGGACTGAGCCTATGGGAAGACTATCTTCCTAACAGGACTATCTGTCCTGTTAAAGACAGTTCAGACATATTGGCTGGCTGGCATGGACAGTTTGGTTGCTCCTCCAACATCTCCTTCCTCTCCTTCAGACAAGCTGCCTGCCTTTCGGATGCATATCCTCTGCCTTGAACCAAATATGCTTCCGGGGAAGAGGACCAGCTCCACCTGTAAGGTCGGGGCACTTGGGTCAGGCCTCCACTAATCCACAGACCTTGCTGAAGTTCCTGATTCATAAAATGAAAAGGAGCACGATACAGGTAAAGGCGGCCTAATGGGAGAAGCTTCCCTTTTTCCTCTGAGTGCACTTCTAGAAGTGACAGTAAACCTGTCCTTGCACTGAATAGCTCTGGGAATTGGAGCCATCTTGTGATGACCGGGGAAGCCTTCTGTAGAAGGAAGCTGATGCCAGAACAAGCAGAAATGAGAGAAGCAAAGAAGCGGGGTCTTTCATGGCAACTCTGAGTCACGGCATTAAACCAACCGAAACCTGCTAGCTCCTGTCCGGTAGTGAAGTGAGCCAGCAAATTCCCTCTAGTGTTTAAACACTAAAGTTGCGTTTTCTGTTATTTGCAAGTAGATGCATCCTGAAAGATCCACGGCACATTTTACAAGAGGGAATGCCTGTTTTATAATTGAATTTCATTTGAGCAAGCTAGGAGAGTGCTAAAAACAACGTATTTGAGTTTTAAATACTTTTTGCTGTCGTACTTAGCAGCTAAGTATTTACCATTCTAAGAACTGTTATTTGGCTCAGGTTGTTTTTGCAAGAAAAGTGGCAAGCTGTGTAAGTCAGCTTTTTTTTTTTTTCTGTAATTATTAGGGGAGGCTCCAGGATGCTGTAATTGCTATTCTATGGAAGGCAATTAGTTGGGGGCTAATACCAAATCAACAAGGACGCTAACACTCGGCAAATAAAAGATACAGTTAAACAATGTCTATAATAGCGCATTGGTTTTATTGATGGCAGAAGAAAAAATTCTTTCACTTGTAAAAGGTACTTGCTTTATTTAATTCATTATTTTTCCCATTCTTTGCGTGAACTGAATTCCCCCCTAAAATCTGTTTTTTTGTTCTCCAAATAATAATATCCACCATGGCTGCATCTTATGCTGAAGGAAAAGCAGGTCTATCGACAGGTTTTGACCAGGATGTTTCAGTCAATGGCTCCTTTCTTCCCAAAGACTCTATTTGAAAAAGAGAAAAAGAAAGTGAAATTGGACCCTCCAATCAACTTTTCCATACTCAACATACACTTCTGCTGAAACTTATCTGTAAAGGTGAAGTGCTTGTATAAATATCAACAGATTGCAAGTAGAACAAATCGGACACTGTTCTCTAATTTATAAAGATGTTTGCTATAAAGCAATATGGAAACCAATAAACCAAAATCTTTTATTTTTTTCTTTAAAAATTTTAAAGTATGTCTCTGTCTTCGTTAGCCCTTTTTTTTTTTGCTAACATGTTGACTTCAGGAATTTCGATTAACTGTATAGTTCTGAACAGACAATGACCTAAAAAAGAGGCAGTGTGCCAATGAACCACCTCCATCTCCCCTTTGAACATCTCTGAACTGGTTTAGTCCACACAGGTGATTTATTTTCATCTGTCACCTCTCCTGTCTGCTCCCCACCTTTATCAGGTATCAGTCTTGTTGAAACATTTTGGGTGGTGACAACAAAAATTGCTGAGAGAGACGGTGGGAGGAGCCTTGTTTGCTCGGGTTCTGTTTGAACTTCCTGCATGAAAGGATGCTCGGGCAGGGACAGGTAGCGCTCCCCTGGCTATATACCAACAGCTCATAAGTCTTCCAAAGTAAACAGTCTCCTGTTTAGACAATAAAGAGCTTTGGATTCTATTTTCTTCACATGATGCCGACCCCACTGACATCACAGGGCTCTGTAAGAACTATCTTTAGAGAGATTAGTTCCCTGACCTTGATTTGAAAAATTTTGCAAAGACAGGCTGGAACAGATTGTCAAAATGTTTTTTTTTTTTTTTCACATTGAAAGAGGTATCTTTACCAGCTAACAATGGCGTTAAAACCTTAGAAAATAAACAAAGTTGTGGTATTTATGTAGCAGTCCATGCTTAGCTATAGGTTTCAAAGTCTCTGGTTAGTATGTGAAACTGTGAAGATGATTCTTTCATCAAACCAACAAGAAACTAAAAATGAAGGTCAAAGTGAGTCAACATTTATTGAACCACTTGACATGCTGACTTTAACCTCCATGCACAGGGGGCCTCATGCTGGCATGTCTCACAAACTCCTCCCACAAAGGTCCGCTGTTTCTCTCTTTCACAGCAGGACACGAACCTCTCACCTCCTCACCTGGACCACTGCAAGAGCTTCTTAGATTCTTTCCAGCCTGGTGCTGTAATCCTTCCTCCATCTAACAGCAGTAGTTCTTATGTGTAATTTTGATCATATCACTCTTATTTAGAAGTTCATGATAGCACCAAGCACATCAAACTCTTAATGTGTCTAAAGCCATACCCTTCTGCTACCACCAGTAAGTATTTTTAACACCCGCCATTTTGGTTTATATGCTCTACTGCAGCCACTGTAAGTCGCCAGCTGTGGACTCTGCTTCTTCCCTTTCTCAGCCTTTACAATGTCTTCAGAGGACTCTACCCAACCAAGAAAATGAAGCTAAAAATTCATTTCAGAGGCCTGCCCCTGCTCCTGGTATCTAATTCCTATAAGTTCAATCATGTCGGAAACCTCTTCAAATGCGCACAGTTTTGGTCAGCTTCACTGATTAAAGAGCTACGTATAACTTCTCTCTCCATATCTGCTCGTGTTTCTCAGTCGTCTGTAAAAATTATGGTGAGTCCAGAAACGAGAAGTTCGGCATTTTGGGTCCCATCTCCCCTCAAGGCTAGGCCTGACTAGCCTCCACTCTGTCAGACGTGGGCCTGTTTCCCGCCAGCGTCCCCGGAGGCCCCCCTCTCTCACCCAGCCCCGGCTCCCGCGTGTCTCCTGCTTGTTGTCCTTAACGCCAGGCCCACGTGGAATTCAATCCCTCCCTGCCTTTGGGCAAGTCAGGTGTATGTGGGGCAGGGTGGGGTGGCGGTGGTGTAGGGGCCTTTGGCCTTATTTTAAAACCTTGTTTTGAACAATTTAAAATACCTCAGAAAGCAAAAAGGGACTTCTCAGTTTTTATTCACCGTAAAAAAGATTTAATTATAAGTACACTGAGCTTATTTTAAGAGTGTTTTTCTTTTCTACTTAAGAGTTTAAGAGTGTTTTATATCTGTTTACTTAATAGCCTTGTATTCAACACAAAGAAAAGCCAGCGATAAGAGGAAAAAAGTGCTACACTGGCTCACTCAGGTAAACCAGAAGTAAGTAGCGTTAGGCTTCCGCTCCAGGTAGACGATGACATAAGGAGCAAAGGGGCCAGAAATTAAAACATCTCTTCACGTAGAGATGGCAGAGCTAGTTTTCACCCAAGGGGAAGCTGAGGAAGATCTGAGACTCTGGGACAGAGCTGTCCAGGAGAAATATAATGTGAGACACGTGTAACTTTCTCTAGTAGCTGCATTAAAAAAGTAAAAGAAAATAGGTAAAATTAATTTTAGTAACAAATTTTATTTAACCCAGTTTATCTAAAATATTATTTCAATTTGGTCAATAAAAATTGAGGTATTTTATGTAAGTCTTCAAAATCTGGTATGCGTTTTTCATTTACAGCACATCTCAGTTCAGGCTAGCTGCATTTCCAGTGCTAAATGGTCATAGCTAGTTGAAAAAATTGAGTCACTTAGCAGGGGAAAAATACAATGTAGATAACAGCCTTAGTAGAATGAATAGCTGAAATGAGGGATTGAGAACAATTTCTTCAAAATTCTCAATGGTCTTGCTACTGAGAAGAAGAGACTGAGAAAAAAGATATGATTAAATCTAACATTATCTTTAGGGTGAATATATAACAAAAGCTCTAACGGGAAAACTCTGATTATTAAAAAGATATATTCAAAAGCCCTGGTATAATGGAAAAAAAATAGAAATGTTACCAAATATGCTAAAAGTATTTCCTTTCAAAAACATGTTAAAAAATAAGGCCTTTGTTCATCAAAACGAGGTGCCTTAGATTGGTCCCATAATTTCATGCTTTTGGTATATATCTCTCTTCCTTCCTATTGAAGATGTTTCAGGTAGCAGCTCTCTAAAACGCTAAGCTCAAACTCTCTGGATAGCCTTGGACCCCAAAATTACATCTCAATAAGTAATCATGCTGTCTCTATCCAATTCCTGAAGATATACTGTGAAGTGTTCCTCTCTCTTAAAAACAATAGAAATTAACTAAAAGGAAACAGACTCAATTATTCAGGTTAGTCCTTTGTTTTCTTGTATCTTTTTCCTGCTTTCACATTTATAGTCATTTCGCTGATTGTCATCACCCCCAGTAGAAGCAAGTAGGTAGGGACAGAGAAAAAAGGGGATTAAGGATAGTGTTTGTGGAGTGAGGTTTGGTGGGAAACAGTTTGTAACTATGGCTTAATCTTAAATACTCTATAAGAGAAAGTTTTAAAACATCAGTTTTCTCTATTATATCATTATGAAATACTAATAATTGGACTTACGTATTTAACATAAATAGTATCTTTCTTTATATGGAAACCACCTCACAATGTCAACTTTACCTTCTCGCATTAGTTCCGAGCCCGGGGCGGTTGGTAGAACTGCTGGGTTGGCCGCGTAGATCGTCTGGGCTGACCGTCACCTCCTCTGCGGAACTCGAGAGTTTGCTCATAGGTGCCTTCTTCCTCCTATTTGCAAAAAGTAGTGATTTAACATGTTCAAAACAGCACCAAGTTTCCTAACTGAAATATATTTTATGGTCCCCATTTTGATATACCCTATGAAGCTGCCCTATGATTCTCATCTGTCAACTTTTATAATAGAGAGAGGCAAGGGGAAGGAATTAAAAAAAAACAAAAACCTCTTTTGGTCCTAGGTAATAGAATAAAATTTAGAGTGGTAACATTAGAATCAAATTTAATTCCAAAAAAGGAAATTATTTCCATGTAATAGCATGATTGTCTCTTCAAATGACTCGACACAACATGGTGAAAACACAGAAAACCAAGTATTGTAATAAAAATTTTCTTGAAGATTTGGGTTTCTAAATATTTCTAGGTATTTATCATGGAAAGGGGTTTTGGTGAGCTTTGGGAAAGGGGTTGAAGAGCCAGAGAACATTCACCAGCTGTCTGTCCTCATCTGATGAAACCTCCAAGGCCATTAAAAGCCTTACATCTAGAGACAGGAAAAATAATGGGTTGGGATGAGGGGGGGAATACAATTTACATGTGAAGATAGCTTCATGCAAGACATAGCAATCACCACAGGAAGACACAAGCTACTTTCTTCTCATTTTCTTTCTTACTGGAGGGGGTAGGTCAGCCAGCTCAAGCCAGAGCATGGGAAAAGTAGGGTAAGCAGATTAAACAGCAGAAAGAATATCGTTAATTATAATGTTTGAAAAGGACTTGGAAGCAACAGAAACATAGCCAAAAGCCACACTGGTTTCTTACTGAGTGCTGCCACCCTGTCATTTTAGTGTTTTTAAATTAATGCAGCTGTGAAGAATGTTTCCTTTTGGAGACAGAAAAAAATTGGCTCTCGGTTTGTTTACAGAAAGAAACAGCATCTATTTCAAAAGCAGAGTTTAAATTCCACCTGAGTTATCAGAGCACAATGATTTGCATGATTTTGGAAATGTATCCTATTTCTTCCTCCTCCTCACTTTTATATTACCATCTTCTTTCCCAAAAGACGTAGGAAGTGATGTGAAAGGCTGAGTTCTGTCTTCACATTTTACAGATCCAACTACTGCAGTTTTACCTGATGGGGGCAGGAAGATGCTAAGATAATTTGATCAAGTCTTATTATTTAGAAAAGATACTTAATATTTGGCATGAACATAACTCTCATTAGGTGTCGTCCACAGTATTCATAAGAAAGAACCATTATCTCCACTTTATATAAAGTACACTGAAGCCCAGGAGTTTTGTGACTTTGCCCTAATGCTTCTAAGGCAAACTTGAGTTTTTATTCAAAGACTGTTGCTTAAATCTTTAAGTCTCAGCTGCAAGTAAAAGAAATAAACCAATAGCCAAAAATTAATGATCATCCTTAAGGGGCTTTCATCACCTAAACAAGAGAATGGAGAAATTTGACAATATATCTGGCATAACTCAATAACTATAGAGACAAACTTCCAGATTAGCTCTCCTTTCATTACCAATCAATCTCAAAATGGTTACAAGTGTCAGATACTATGTCTATAATTTAGTAAAGCAATTAAAATGCAGGGAGAAAAATTAAAAAGTGTTTGGGACAGAAGAGAATTAGTTTTTATTATTCTGGGCACTATTCTGAATGATAATTATCAAATATTATAGCTAAGTCTGAAAAGGAGCAGTTTAATTTTATGAAATATGACATCTGAAGGTTTGCATATTAACTAAGAAGAATGAAAAAATACATATAATTGGTACTGTAAGAGATGAAGCAATTATTTCAGGAATTATAATGGAATGTTATTTTTCTCCACACCCAGCTGCAGAACTGGCTAGAAGACATATAGAAATCGATACTTTATCAATAAAATACACTGTTAAAGGTAGAACAGTACATTGGTTGAGTGAGTGAGCTGCGTTTACATAATAAATGTCATATTGCTGTCTGAAAAGCTGTCTCTACTGTGTTTAAAAGATTCACAGACTATATTAGCCAGAGCCAATTAAATGGTCCCACAGAAGTGACTGGCCATGAGGTTTCTTTCATGTTATTGGATGTCTTCACTATCTTTTTAAACAAAGCAGAAGCAAAAAATAAAAATGATTCTGGCAGCTTGGTTTTCAGTTATTGTCAAAGGCACAATTTTTATGTTTTAACCTTTCAATATTCTTCCTGCAGAGTCCCTGAGGGCAAACCTGGTTACCCAAAAACCACTTGCTAGAGTCGATAGCTGGTAATTTCTAGCACTGAGTGAGAACCTCTTTCCATTTATATAACACACAGCTCAATGTAATCCATCAGTTTATTTGGAGTCATCTTTGGGTGAAATGTATACCTTGTTTTTCTAGCCTATTTTCTTCCTTTAGGTTTTATTACTCTGTAACAACAGGTATAAAACTCAAAAAAGCACATTAGTTCATGAGCATATTTAAAAAAACCTAACACCATGTTTCAGCTGGCACAGCCCTGGTGGGCCATGGAGTTTGTCCCCATGGATTTGACAGACGAAGAATCTCTAAATCCAGAGAGGTGAAGCGATTTCCCCAAGTCACAGAGCTCACTGGAGGGGAAGTCCAGACCAGGCCCGCTTGGTTTCTGACTCTCAGGCAAGGGTCCTTAAAAGGTGTGTGGCAAATTTTATAAAATGGAAGTCACTGATGTCATCTTCACCTAAACTCCTGAGATTTAGAACCATTTTATTGGGACTCAGATTTTTGCTCACCTAAGCCATGCTATAAGGTAACACCTGGTTTTAAAATACTAAACCACTAATGCTCAAGATGCGCCCTCTTTTCATGCCAGTAGTTATTAGTCTATTGTTCCTTTTAATGAAAAGATACAAAATGCAATAATCATTGTGACATCAAGCATGAACGAAGTGATAGTTTGAAAAAAAAAAGTCACAGCACCAATGTAAAAAGGAGACACACAATCAACTATAAAACACGTTTGACGGGTCACAACTACATCCTTCCTGCATATCATCTTCAGTCTTTCCTTAGCGCCTACTGTATCTGGAGCAAGAACACCGACAAATACGTACTCCCTCATTCATAAATGAGCTCTAGGAAAGCTCATCGTAAATCAGTCACCTGGAACCTGGAACACTCTTCAGTGGGAGGTGGGAAACACTTTTAAATAGAGGTCAGGTGCTCTGTTCCACAAATAGTAAAGGAAAGTGCAGCTAAGCATCCAAACCAGTACGCTAAAGGTGATCTTGCCCTCCAGGGGGTGTTAGCCAACGTCTGGAGACAGTTTTGGTAGTCAAATCTGAGAGGTGCTATTGGATCTAGTGGAGCTGGAGACATTTTGGGTTGTTACAAACTGAGGAGGTCGGGGGCTGTTACCCCATCTAATGGGTAGAGGCCAAGGATGCTGCTAAACACCGTACAATGCACAGGACAGACCACACAACGAAGAACTATCCAGTCCTAAGGCCAACAGCATTGAGGCTGAGAAACCCTGAGCTGCGCATACGGAGGAGCAGACAACTGCCCCCTGCCCCCTTAAGTGCCAGGGCAGCCTGGAAAATCACTCTGCCATTCGGGACACTTGGGTTCGCCACCCTTCTCCTTTTTTGTTTTGCACATTTCTCCTTTTGCCTTTGCCTCTACGGCCTAAATGCTGACCCAGTCTTTGTGGGGCTTCTGTGGGGGGCTCTATTTGCGGACATACTCGAGCTACACACTCACAGTAACTTACTGAATTGCCTTATCTTGCATTACCATTCCCTCAGCATTTTCCCACAGCCACAATTTCAGGACACAATGCGATTACTTGCTTGGTCAAAGTGGGGGTGGAGATAGCAATTCTCTTCATAAAAAAACTTAGAAAAACTTATTCATATTGTCACCTGTCCTTTAATAGCTATTTTGTGTGTAATTTAATTAACTCTTTGGTCAGTTCCTTCTCACAGAATTTGTATAGCAGTCACAGAAACAAGCCAGCTTGTAAAATGGATACATACATTTATTCACACATAAAGCACTGACTCTGTGAATTTCCAGGCCACCTTCTTCTGCCTGCTAGGTTAGCTTATGTAGTCAGTTTATCGATACATGAATTCATTTTAATATAAAACCTAAGCAATCGTGTTAAAGACAAACCTGCTTTCCCAAAACATCAAGTAATAAAGGCAAAACTATGAGGAGCGTAAAAACATCAGTGGTTGCCAAGAGCTAGGGGAAAACAGAGGGATGAACAGACAGAGCAGAGGATTTTTAGGGTAGTGAAACTATTTCGTATGATACTATTATGCCATTACACTTTTTCCAAACCCAAAGAATACACACCACCAAGAGTGAACCCTAAAGTATCTATAGACTCTGGGCAGTAATGATGTGTCCACGTGGGTTCATCAATTGTAATGAATGTACCCTCTGGTAGGGGGTGTGGACAGTGGGGAGCGGGGGCTGTGCATGGGGGTGGGAGAGGGGGCATACGGAAAACTGCTGTATCTTCCTCTCAGTTTTCCTGTGAATCCAGAAGTGCTCTAAAAAATAAAGTCCATTAAAAAACAGACTGTAAAATAGGTCTGTGGAATACTTTGGGCCTCGTACAGTACTGAGGATATGGTAGCTCCTTAATTTTTTATGGGATATTTTTTGACCTGCCTTATTAACAGGACATATCTTGATCCATTCGGATTCTTCCTGTGGTTATCAGTAATATCAAATCTCATAATCAGAACATAAGAATTAAATTCCTTTCATCCTTGGGATGCCATGATGATTAATTAATGTGTGAAAACCACTTTGAAGACTGAGCTTTCTGAACTGGCTCTCACTGTTTACTTTGGATGATACCCTGGATATTAGTAATATTTTCTCTTGAGCCCCACTGGAAAACTTTGACATTTGATTTTACTTGTCAGTCCAAACAATGAAATAACAGTATCTCTGTCCCATTCAAAAACAAAACCCCAAAAATGTCATAGACTCCAAAAGTAGAGCTTAAAGTATTTTAAATAATGCTCTATTTTAGATCAATTATATTAACATTCTATCCTATTAGAGTAACTGAA